CGGAGAGCCCAGCAAGGCACTTTCTCCAAAAACATTGGCATAGGAAGACTTGAGGAACTGGACATAGTTTTGCATGCTGCGGTTGGTGCTCTCTGACTGCTCCAAACGATCCTTTAAGTCTTGTAGGCGGCTCTCATACCGGCGCTCTGCCTACGTGAAGAAGCACAAAACACAGGCTGAAAGAGAGAGACATTCATCTCCATTCAGCAAACCACTGATAAAAACAGAAGACAACACAGCTATTCAGTTGGGCTTTTAAAACTGATAAACTATAGTTATGGGGAATTAAACACACTCTTTTCTGAAAAGCAACTTAATCTGATCCATTTGACAACCCAAATCCAAGTAAAACTCAAATAAATAAGCAGGGTAAATAGGACATTATGAAAGATTTCCCCTTCTTTCTTCTAGAATAAATCCTTTCCTCTAGAAAAGAAATTGCATTCTCTCTCAGATAACCAAGCACAGTAAATGAAGTTGAAATGTCTGGTACAAACATCATTTGAACCTAAGAAAGGTCTGATTCTTTTCTTACAAACACCTAAGTTTAGAGCAAGTTCATCCAGACTGTTGCTGTAAGTAATAAGCAAACGAGAGTCTGCATTCCTGAATTAGTGACATAACAGACACGTCATATCCCACATCTGCCATGGACACACATAACAGCATGGCACACTCAGACACAGCTCTGCACGATATCAGCATCTCCACAGGACCTTGGTTTATGGACACCAGTTGCTGCCAGGATGCCACCAGCACAGCAAGAGTATCCCCTGCAAGTTACTTACATCATCTTTACTCCGACGCAATTGGTTCAGCTCTGTTTTATTCCTACTCAGCTGGGTCTCCAGATCCAACACCTTGGACTGGGCTGCCCTCTCTCTAGACGTTGCTCGTTCTCGAGTTTGTTCCACCTTCGTGTAACAACAGAACAACAACTTTGATAAAGAGATGTTTATGGAAGAATTTTTCCCTACCCCACTGCCCACAAAAGTCCTATAAAGTTTAACTGGACACATTCTCACACATAAGCAGCAGCTCAGTCTTGTGATTTCCTCTCTTCTGTTACAAAATGGCTTCAGTTTTTCAATGATTTAAATCTCTGACAAACAGTTGCAGCAAATTTTATTATTTGTATTTCACTGAACATGATGATTTTCATTAATTTAGTCACAGGATGAGGAGGTATTTCCAGAATTCTTCCTGGTGCCCTTTTACAGTCTGGGTAGTTTTGGGAAAATTCACAAACACAAGAAATTCCTTACTTGTCTTTTGGCATCCTCGATGGCCATCTCCAACTGGCGTGCCAAGGAGCTACATTCACGTGTCTTCTCCTCTAACCGCAGCTGACACTGGTGGATCGACTCCTCACGTTTTGCTATGACCTGAAGGAATTCTATGTTCTGGGCACTCGTTGTCTCTAGTTTTCTAGGTTAAGACAATAAGGGAAGGAAACCTTTTCATTTTAAATGGAGCATGTTTCAGTCTGCCTTTTTGTCAGGTCCTGACTAGTCTGGGAATAGATTCTCTCTCCCTTGAAAGGTGAGAGCCCCAAGAAACACTTCCCATTTCTCAAATCAAAATTTCAAAGATTGAGGACATACAGAGTATCCACATACCTGCATTTTCCCAGACATTGTCACTAAAAAGAGTTTATAAACATGGGTAAAAACACTGTAATATGTAGTATCCTCAAAATTGTCATTCTAGATTGGACAAGGAGCTGGTTTATCTGCTGCGTAAGCCACCATCCTTCCTAACAATATAACACCTAATAGGTGCTGCAAAAACCTGTAACTCTCTCCAGTGGACAGCTACTGATTACAGATCCCTGAGGGATAAGCAAACACACAGAATCCATCTCTCTTCAGAGACTGGAACAAGACTGAAGCTGTTTCAATCCTGAAAAAGCACTGGAAAGAGGATGGAAATGGAAGGTTAAGAGAGCAAGAGAGCCTAGTATTTCTAACCTTTCTAGTTCCTCCACCTTCAAGGTCAGCTGCTTTTTCTCCTCCTGGGCAGACTGATACCTCTCTCTTGTCATCTCCATCTTGTCTCCCTGGAGCTCAATCTAAAAATTACAGTAAGTAATTACTTTACAGAGTAGTCACTACACACACACAACCAACCACCTCAAATGGAGGCAGCTCTCCAGAAGGAAACATGCTCAATTCATAATTTCTGGAGAGCCCCAAAAAAGCAATAGTGGAGAGAAAAAGCAAAGCACTAAACATCCATTTTGCTGGTGCTTCCAGTTAATATTTGGAAAGGTATGAGAAAACTCTTCCATACTGCAAATGAAAAGCCGGGTCCGTAAATGCCTGCACGTAGAGAAGCCACCTGTAAGCAGAGGGAAGCACACGCTTTAAAAGCAGCCGTATACATGATAGCAGCCCACAATGGCATTAGAGCCCAAAATACCAGGAAGGTTTATAATTCCAAGCCAACATGTGAGAACATTTGCTCTGTCTTGAGGCATGGCTGCAGAAGTCATGCCTGTCTATAATTGTCCTGCAATGCCTACACAGTCCTCCTGGGGACAAAAAACAGGGACTGGGAACACAACCTGAAATCAGGGTGAGAAAACAAGGTTGGGACAGCACTGTTGGCAGAAAACCACAGGAGGGAAACCTGACAAGATGATGGAAGTAACAGAAGCGAGCGTTGGCAATAGCAAGTGTTGTCACTGCTGCTATTCAAGTCCCAGTAAGGTTCTGGCACCAAGGAATGAGACACCTTCCCAATAGTAAGGAATGCTACTAGCTACACCGCTAACTTCTAGCACAAAGACATAGCACACATCTTTTCTTTTGCAGTGTACATTTAATCTTTTCAAAGCAGTGAGAACAGAGACAAAGCTTGAACCTTCCTGTGGTTAGAAATTCATCTCGCTGTCAAGACTTGTGGATTGCAGTGCTGCAGGTACCTTCTGCCAGTCCCTTACCCGCTGATGAAGATCTGCAATCATCACAGACAGGTCCATGTTCTTTTTCTCATAACTCTGAAGCTGGTCCTGACATTCTGATAACTGTGTCTCTCTGATCTTTAAGATTTCAGGCAGCTTTTCCAGTTCAGCAAGCTGGCTCTGGAACTGCTTACGTACCTACAACCAAAGAGAGCATGAGGAACTTTAAAATATTTGTAAGGTCAAGACTGAAAATGTTTCTCAACTTCAATGAAACTTTGTTAGCCTGCAACCATGATGACACTGTGGCCAGTGTTGGAGTTCAAAGCCTAAAGTCTTCACATATTCCAAAAAGGCTTTTTCTTAGGATTTGGCATTCCCTATGGATGGAGTGAGAACGAGTGAGTATCTTGGATCTCGGACTTCAATTTTACTAGAAGTACAAGCTCTTTTTGGAAGATGGCTGTTCCACGGTAGATAATGGTATTACCTGCACAGTTCACTGTTCTAAACCACTATTTCAGCAG